TTTCTTAAAAAAAGAATAGATAACATAGAAGCTACTCCAAGGGAAATAACTTTAATTCTGATGCTTTATCTTTACTGTAGTCTAGAGTCTTTATCTTGGGCAAGCAAACATGCCCTGTTCGAAAATCATGAGTAGCAGGCCCAATTGTGGAAAGAAAACTATATACTATATTCTATTCTTTGCAGGCCAGAATTATATTGTCTTTAAGTCCATTACATTAGAATTCATTAGATAAAAGTATAAAATTGAAAGTTTTATTTGAATAAACAAATTTAGAAGAAGTTAACTTGAATTTTGCATGATATAAGGACCACCTGGACAATTCTGAAATTTTCTTAGACACACAAATCACCTGCTAAAATAAACAAAAGGAAGTGCAATGATGCCAATAGACAAAAAATATGACTAAAAGAGCAACCTTAAAATTAGGGAGGAGATATAATGTAAACATTTTGGCATGTGCCTCTAATGATTATGTTCAATCTTTCACCCAATTGATGAATTACGTAGTATAAAAATGGGGGCAAAGTTAAATACCAAAACCTAGCTTAGCTAGATTTTATCTTAGAGTCGTAGACAATGGTAATGTTTTAAATTAAAAACTCTATAATCGCAATCCAAAATTAGAAAACAAAAATTGGAATACAAAAATGACAACCCAAAACAAAGTATTAACCCAATACACAAATCACAAAGCTTCAACATTTGACATAAGATAAGTAAAGTTTAAACTAGGACTCTAGGAGTTCATCCAATGCTTATTTAATTTCAAGCTACCTACAAAAAAAAAAAAAAAAAAAAACTCTCTAAAATCGTCCCAAATAGGAAAAAGTCCGATGTAACTCTCTTGTGTTTCGTTAATCATTTCTTGATGTAAAACACATATATTTAGACTAGTAAGTCGTAACTCATATAATTGCTAGGGGCCGATCTTGTGGTTTTCGATAATTGATTTGGTTGATTAAGTGTCTCAACATTGATTTTGAGTAATCCTTAATGCATGTACAATCCCAAAAATCATAAAAAGGGAGTGACAATTAAAACGTGCTTAATGTATCACTTTCACTTCTTTCTACCACTTTTTTTCATGTCAAACCCCTTTTTCAGCATCAAATTTGAGAACAAATTATGTCCATTATTTTCTCTCCTAACTTTTGTGAATTTTCAGTACAATAGCGTAAAATTGCAGAATTAATACAGTCATAAACACCTAAAAAATCAACATTAATAAATTTCTACAGTGTAATAACATTTTCAGCATGATATTACCAGCAAATCTAACATCCTAAGCAAAAAGCTAATTTACATTTCACAAAAGTATAGATCATAGGAAATCATACTTCATTTTTAATCAAATTATAAACTCAAACATTCGATTTGCAAATTGAGAAGTTAAACGTAAACCAATAAATTAAGCAGGAAAATAACCTCAACAATTTATCGGAATGGATTTGAAGAAATTTGAAGCCATTACGTAGCAATTCTTAGGTTCGAGATTTGGTAGGACAACAACATTTGTTGGGAGAGTTTTTTCATCAATTGGGCTTAACCCGACTTGAATCCGAACTTAGTATTGCTTCTTAACTAAAATCACTACTCCCTTCGTCAGTAAAAATAGGAAGGTAATTTAAGGACGGCCGGATATGCTTGCAAAAAAAAAAAAACTTTGTACTTTGCAATTGGAGAGCACGGAGGTCGGAGGCGTGACGATCAAGCTTCATCGGATTTTTGAAAAAAAAAAAAATATTATAGAAAAAGTTTTTAGTTGATGAGTTGGGCTGTATATTTCAGTTTGTCAAACTAAAGAATGGGCCAAATTTTGCTAAGCTACTTTTGAATTTGTCAGAGGGCCTGTTGGTGAATTATGTCTAACTAAATAATGGGCTAGTAGTAAAAGGCTATAAGCAAGCTATTTGATTTTTTGGGCTTGTTCGGTTTACTATCATTTTTTTCCAACCAAGAATAGGGATGATAATCTAATCCGAAAACGATCCAATCTGATAAAAATAAATGAATAATTGAGTCAAATTCAAAACAAAGAATTTGTATCCAACTTGTTCTAACTCTTCTAAGTAGCATAGGGATTAGGGAGTATACAAGTATTATTTTTCAACCCTACAATTTATGACCGGTTTTATAGACCTTTGTTGTATGCATTTGGCTAATGTTTTGACGATTTATTGCATTTTCCGAATGATTATTATAAAAATGGTAATGATCATTAGATTAGTTATTGAAATAAATTGAGTGAAAACAAAACTAAGGGTCGAATGCAAGGAATTCTAGTTAGATTACCAGAATTGGATGTCGGAGCCAGAGTTCACCAACAGCTCTTAAAGTCGGAGGTGAATTATGTGTGATCAAGGAAGATAAAAGGCAAGGAATTAGTTGATCAACATTTATTGAATACTCAAGTTGTAATTTAAAAAATCACACTTGTTCGATCATGAATACAAGGTTGCAACTTGCAAGTCAATTGCATGGAAGGCAACATCCTTCAAGATCACAATATATATTCAAAATTTTGCCACCCACTTGCTTACTTTTTGTTTAATAAAATGAGATTATCTTCAAAAACAAGTTGATTATTAATTAATTATATGATGTGTTTAGGTGAAATGCAAATTATCCACTATTCTCAATCTCTATTACCCAAAATTAAGACTAGGTACATAATAAGTTCAAATTAATCTCCCTTTTCTAGCCCCCACATAATAATCAATCATTATCTTGCCCTTTATAAAGTGGGTCCCACTATTTCTTATTTTTCTTGCTTTCATTATTTTTCAAAAGTTTAATTATTTTGCTTTTTTCATCCTCAAAATCTTATTCACAATTTTTTTTTTTTTTTTTTTTTTTTTTTTTTTTTGTAACAAAGTTGGAAGATGTTGATGCTAGGAGCAGCCATTTCAGCAGTGCCATTGATGTTGTTGATCCCACCAATGAGAAGATTTAGTATTTTTGTAATAAAATTTGAAGATATTTTTCAAGATTTCATTGCTCAAACTTCTGTAATATATAATCGCCTTCAATTTGTAGGTTCCCTTATTTTTGATGCTTCTTCCTCTCGTACTAGGCGATATCAATATTAAGCTTTACTATTGGCTTATTGGATATGATGGTTAGTTTTGTTGAAACAATTTTGTATATATTCAAAAGAAATAGAGGAAAGAATTTTCAGATCGTAGATTATTGTTGTTGTGGTGGTGGTGCAAAGTAGGCCATCTGAATTTTCAAGTATTAATTTAAACTATACTTCTAAATGATTTTTATAGACTATAAATTTCCTTAGGTATGTACGAAGTATATGTTATTATGGATCACTTTTTTGAAATTTCTATAAAAATTTTACAATTTTATTTAGAATTTTATTTATAAAGTAGATTATTATGTAGTATAAGAATGGTAATTAATTAAGTACGCATTGGATAATTCCCTCAAAAAAAAAAAAAAAAAAAAAGTATACAGTGGATAAAATGTTAATTTCCTTTGGTTTTTTTTTTTTGTTTTTTTTTTTTCACAATTGCCACATTTAGTTCACTTGAGTTTTACATCAAGTAGTGATTTTTAGTAAATTTTCAAAATAATTGTGTGTAATCCATCGTGATGATTGATCGCAGACTTGGATTCACATTTGTATAAAAGTAAAAATGACTCATGTTACTAAATTTACATTTTTAAGTAAGTTATGGGACATGTAACATTAATCGTATCACACAATCATAAAAGTTGTATCATGTCATCTTCGACTTGACTTGTTATTGTGTTCTTTCTCACGTCGAGAAATATATCATACACTCACACGTACTCTAGTTCCCAAAATGCCAACCAATAGAATGCAAATGTGGGACATTTGACCACCTAATCTCCCCCCCCCCCCCCTCTCCAATTCTTGTTTTAAATGCTTTCACAATTCCTCTTGTTACAAGGAACTCCTAAGATATCCTTTTTATAAAAAAAATATTTAAAAAAAAAAACAAATGAAGGCAAGGGTGTAATGACTTGTTGAAACATTAATCTCAAAACAATAAGGCCCAAATGACCAAAGGTAATTCATTTTGAAACTAATAAAACCCCATCACTTAGGGCTTGTTCACATTTACTTAATTTCAGTTCAATTTAGTTCAGCTCAGCTCCGCTTCAATTAGTTCAGTTCAGTTCAGCTCAATTCAGTAAATGTGAACAGACCCTTAAGTGTTTTTTTTAAAAAAAGTGTTTATACAAAAATTATTTCTTTAATTTTGTGGTGTTATAGGAATAATTAACTTAGTATAAGGATTGCACTAATTACATTCCCATTCCAAATTTTCATATAACCATAACTTCATATTTTATAAGTAATAGGTTATATCAATCAACTTAGTTGGATAAATTATTGGGTAATACAAAAAATTATATATATATATATATATATTTAAATAAAAAAACCCTTAAGTTTGTTATTCAATCATTCTTTTCAAGGGGATTGAACTAAGATTTTGATCACAACATTGTAGCAGACATCGTATAGCAGTGATTAGCTGTTTAAATATCGTGCAGTTGATAAGTACTTGTATTTTTTCTAACATTGCTTGCGAACTTTGAAACATTGACATTTTTGACGTTTTAGAAAAACAACAGGCGTATTCTCTCCGGCTTAATTTCAATTCAGTTTAGCTTCAATCAGTTCAATTCCTAATTTCCATCTTTCATAAACAATTCAGTTCAACTCCAACTAATGCAGTTCAGTTTAATCTAATTCAGCTCAGTTCAGTAAATCATAATCTCTATCTCCATCACTAACCAATACAGTACTTTAACTATTATATTGTCAAACACCTTTGTTTTTAAATACTTGCTTCATTTTCTTATTTAGAAATCTTTTATAATATTTAATTCATTTCTCTCATCTATTGGGCCCAACATAAATCATATTTTATTAATTTCATATATCGCTCATCCAATTCTCTCAACTATTTTTTTTTTTTACAATCTTTATTCTTCCACCTACCTATTTTCATATTTTATTACTTTCTATAATTTCTCATAGGGAATATTAATGATAATTTTAGAAATGTTTTGTGAACGTCTTCATTAATTTTAAGGATGATACTCAATACTTAAGATTGGATAGTTCCCGTAAAAAAAAAAAAAGATTGGATAGTCAACGCCGAAACCTATTAACAGCGGTATGAGCCGTATAACTGTAATAGCGGGAAGTAACTGAAGCAAGCGAGTCTACCCGCCGGACAACACAATGCTACTGAGACACACTACCAGAGCCATGACCCCTTTCTCTCTCCTCCCTTCCCTCTCTTTCTCTCTCCTCTTTTCCCCAAAACCTTCCTTCTTAATCCCTAAACCCTCCTTAAACCCTAATTTTCCCAAATTCACTCTAAATTCTCGACCATTTTCTCTCTCCTCTGCAACAATTTCCCCAATTTCTTCCCCCAATTCTCAAACCCTAGATTTCAATGTCGAACCTTACTTGTCTTGTTCGATGCCTGGTAATCGCCTCAAAGTTGCTGTTCTTATTAGTGGTGGTGTTGATAGTAGCGTCGCTTTGAGACTTCTCCATGCTGCTGGTCATTCTTGCACTGCTTTCTATCTCAAAATTTGGTTTCAGGTTTAATTTGTTATTTTATCTCTTCATTTCACCAGCATTTTGTTAAATTTATGGCTGAATTTCGTTGTTTGAATTGCTTAATCTTTAATTTGTGATTTTCTCTCTTCATTTGACCTGCATTTTGTTGAATTTATGGCTGAATTTCGGTGTTTGAATTGATTAATCATTGAATTGCCTCCTTTTGTGTTGATATAAATTTGGTTGTTTTGCATTTTGGAATCCATTGTTCACATGTTTTGCCTTTTCTTACTTTGTTTGTTGGATTGATTGATTGTGCTATGCTATTAATTTGGTTATAGTGAATTTTGTCAATTGATTTAAGGAATTGAGCGAAACCAATTCAATCGGCAGTAATTGTGCGTTTATCAAAATGAAATTTGGTATCTATGCGACTATGCCTGTATAATACGCTGTAAGCTGTATTATGTCAACACTCAACAAAGATAAGAAAACAGATCTTCAGTAGCTATTCTTGGAGAATTTATGGGAAAGTGAAAGCGTTGAAATGATCAGTGACTTATATTAATAGGAAGATGAGGAGACAGCGGCTGAATTTTACTGCTTTGTCATGTGCTCATTTAAATTGGTATTTGGTATGCTCTGCCTTAGAAGTTACCTATGTTGAGTTATTGTTGATGTTATTATGTTAATCTTGTGAGAGCCTAGTCTATCATGCTCTGTGTTTAGGATGCTAATAACTTGTGGACTTTAAGAAGCAATTTTTACAAATTTGTGAGATTTTGTGACTCTAATCAAACAAGAGGAACGTGTCATGCTTTTGATGTGTTCAACAGTTGATGTCCTAAATGACAAGCTCAATTTTCCTTTGTACCGCTGCAATCATTATTTGTGACTAGTTTATGAAGGTTCATCAAGACTCGACTTCTGAAAATTCTTGAAACATGCACACGTTATTTATTTTTAATGCCCGATAATATAACTTAAAGGTTGATTTTGTAGGAGGACTTTGAAAATTATTGGTCTGAATGCCCATGGGAAGATGATTTGGGATACGCTAAGGCTGTTTGCAATCAGGTAGCTCTTTAAGTACTTAAGTAGTGGTTTCTGCGGTTGGCATTGGTTCTCGACTGAACTAGAAAGACATTTTTTCCAGGTTGATGTTCCATTGGAAGTTGTGCATCTGACTGATGAATATTGGGAAAAAGTGGTATTGTTTTCCATGTTGCAAATGCGTGTTTTCTAGTTGCCATATGTTTTATGCACACATCTTAGCCTACTTTTTCTTTGCATGTGTTCTTAAGGCTTGAGACTCATGGGACTATCTATTAGGTCTCTTACATTATTGAAGAGTATCGAAATGGGCGTACTCCTAATCCTGATGTGCTCTGTAATACAAGAATAAAATTTGGTTAGTTGCTTGCCCTCTTTGCTGTGTAAAGAAATGAATCTGGAATTCGGATGATGATATTCTTGTTCAAAGTTATGTTATCCTTACTGTTCATATTCTTTATTCTTTCAGGTGCATTTATGGATGCAATTAGCAGTATGGATTTTGATTATGTAGCCTCAGGACATTATGCAAATGTGATTCATCCGTCGATTGATGCGCTGGATAATCCTTCTGTTCTGGAGCTGTCAAGGGATATGGTAATTATGTCGTCTATTTTTATTCTGTTTTCTTCTTGACCTTATATTGTTAGTGCCAAGTGGTAGCTTCCCACAATTCACACTTAACTATTCTTTTTGAATCTTTGATACCTCAGGTCAAGGATCAAACTTATTTCTTGTCACACCTAGATCAACGTCAGCTAAAACGCCTTATTTTCCCTCTGGGATGTATATCAAAGGTGAGAGTGATTTGTTTCTTTGTGCTTAGTTGCTTACCAAACTGGCTACTGGAGCTAATGCCTATCGATTTGGTGGTTGTTTAACCAATAAGACAAGTTGATGAGTCTTTAGCATGAGGTAAATACAATTACAAGTGCATTATGCTAAAAATATCTAACCGTTGTACAGTTGTGTAAGTAGCTGGTGAAGTGGATTTTTTAATTGTTGATGTTCCTTTGAGGAAGCTTTGTGTTGTAGCCATATACTTTAATACTTAGGATGTATATTCATTCTGGAGTCTGCTGAATAATTATTGTTCACTACTTTGTTTTCCTCATATCTTGATCCTTTTGTTGTCTGGCATTTTGCATTCTTAGATTTGTTTTACATTAATACGTGTGTTGACTTACTTTCAGGACGAGGTCCGTAAACTTGCTAGCGAATTTTCTCTACCCAACAAAGATAGAAAGGATTCTCAAGGGATATGCTTCCTTGGAAAAGTATGTTTAACAAATTAATATTATTGGTGAAGGTTTGTTTGCTGTACATTGGTCTTTGAAGTCTCCTTCCGTTTCGTGCTTCAATGCAAGCATGGAATTTAGATGTCTGATTTCTTGACTCGAGTTTAAAATCTTTCTTTTAGCTTTAATTCGACTTGAAATTTACTGTGTGCTGTATTATGTGATTAATCTGTATGTGTTTAACATGATGATTTTCTTTTCATCTTGACGAGTCACAAAATTTATAGGAGTTTGATACTTTGATGTACTGGCACCATGAATGTTTGTACATCATGCTTCCTTGAAGTTTTTGGCTTGATCAAAATTTTTTTTGGGTCCTTGTCTATTGTGATTTATATGGTTCAATGTACTATTAGCAGACAGTTTGGTTGGTGGTAGAAAATGGTGGCAATGGGATAGACTTTGTACATTTTTTTGTATGAGAAATCAATGTTTATTTCCTTGGTTGTATCAGGTGGTAATGGCCGTTTATGATGGAAACACAAGTTTGGGGATGAAATTGCATTACCACGGATATTAGGATGTCATTTTGCTTGTTAAATTACATTTAAACTCATTCCCATTAATACTCTTTATGACTAGCTGTCAAACGAGCCGTAATATATAGGCCAATTGACCAGATTGGTAAATAAAACAGACCCTTAGCGACAATTTGGTAAAAAAACTTACTCCGGCGACAAATTGGTAAAAAAAAACTAACCTTAAGAGACAATTTGGTAAATAAAATAATCTCAGGGGACAATTAACCCAAAAAAGCAAAAAATTTCGATAAATTACTCGCGAATGCTTAATATAGTTCCTTTTTCTTGTTATTTAACAACCCTTTTTTATGGAAATAACAATTTGAAGAAAAAAAACGTTAAGTATCAATTTTCACTTAAGTTTCATACCCCTTATTAACGAATTTTTTTTAAAAGGGGTTGGAAATAAAAAGGGATGACATGTAAATTCAAAATTTTAAATGGAAAAAATAAATTTAAGAACAAAAAAAAAATTAAAATAGGATTTTTAAAGAGTTTGTCGGGAAAAAATAGATTATTTGGTCTAAATGTCGCCGGAGTTTATTATTTTTACCAAATTGTCGCATATTGTTAGCTTTTTTTACCAAGTTGTCGCTGGAGTAAGTTTTTTTACCAAATTGTCGCTAGAGGTCTTTTTTATTTACCAATCTGGTCAATTGACCTAATATATATAATATACCACTTCCCTTTATATACTGCTACTCCATACTGCTTATGGACTTATGGTCCTTGATTGTTTTGTTTATACTTTGTGCTTTGCCTGTATAGATGGAAGAAGATACTCCATTGCTTTGCTAGCATGTATTGATTCTATTATGTAATTGTGTATCAGTTCTTGTTCTCTCTTGAGATTTTATCCTTACTGCTGCCTTATACAGGCTCCCTTCTATTTCAGATAAAATTCAGTGACTTTGTTGCACGGCATATTGGTGAGATGGAAGGTGTCATGTTGGAAGCTGAAACAGGAGATTTTCTTGGGAATCACCGTGGATTTTGGTTTTACACAATTGGTCAACGCCAAGGCCTACGCCTTCCTGGGGGACCATGGTATTTTCTTGTCAATAATTCAATTGTATGGATCCATTATTCTTTTGTTGGGTTTAGTAATAAGTGTGCGGGTGATTTTTTTTTTCTTTCTAAATCATAAACAAATGACGTATCCATGACTGTCTTTGTCCAGTGCATACCTTTTATGGAAGATAATTTTTTGATTATTTTTTGGTTAATTTTTGTGCAGATGAAAGACTGGTTATTTTTTGTCATTTTTTTAATCACCGTGCAAGTTTTTGGGAACCAATTTAATAGCAGCATAATTTTGCCTGAAATGATTAAACTTTATATGGAGTACTTGCTTCACTTTAGTTTTCTTGATCATCTAGCTGTTGATGGGACATGAAAGGATGAGACTGTGAGAGGGGGAGGGAGAGATACTTTTGTGACAGATAAACTTAGATTTAGAGTATAAATGTTGTTCCGCTTGTCCCTCCCTATAGTTTTCCTGTGTCCGTGCTCTCAACTGTGCTTTACATTTATCTTTAAAATTTGCCTCACAACCTGTTTTCTTGTGGGTGTACAGGTATGTTGTACAGAAGGACATTAAAAATAATGTAGTATTTGTCTCAAGAAACTATTATTCAGTTGACAAAAGAAGGCGTGTATTTCGTGTTGGATCTTTAAAATGGCTTGGCGGCTTTCCCCCAGACAACATAAATGAGCTACAGTGCAAGGTAATGGCCTTGAAGCAGATTGTTTTTTGTCAAACTATCATTTATAAAGTAGCAGTTTAGGTTTCATGTTTGATTAATTTTTGTTTATCAAGGGTGGCAGTAGGCCATTGAAAATTCCTTTTTATTTTTATTTTTATTTTTTTATTTTTTTTTTTATATATATATATATATAATTGCTAGGGCATGGCTACATGCCTACATACTTCTGTGCTCCAACTTTTTCAGACATTGCCATAGGCAGAAGTCCTATGCACTGTATGGTTACTATGAGAACCAGCAAGAACTGCATCTTTAAAGTGTTGAATGGGTTTTTTAAGCATCAACAATCGATGAAATTCCAAACTCCGGTGTAGTTATATTGGAATCATGAAAAACAATTATCTTATGCTTCACGATTAGTTTATGAAGACCAATATATATATATATATATTATTATTTTTTTTTTGGGGGGGGGATGGGTTTGTGTCCCTGTGTGGAGTGCGCGGTGCGGTGGGAATGGGTTGAGTCAATGAGGAAATGATGCTACTGTTAATTGTCTTACAGGTCATCTTACCCACTATATATCTCTCTTTTTAGGTTCGACATGGTCCTAGCTTTTATTCCTGCAGTTTGACAATGGTATCTGGTGAAAACTGCAATGGAGATGTAGCTGTTGTCCATCTGTCAGAAGATGATCAAGGCTTGGCAGCTGGTCAGTTTGCTGCCTTCTACCAAGGAAAGACATGCATTGGCTCTGGCGTAATACTCGAATCCTGGGACGAGGAAGGTTTCCCAGTTTGTGAGAAGGCTCTTGAAATCGCCAGAATGGAAGACAAGTCAAAGCTTGGAAAACCTGTAAAAATCAAAGTTAAACCAGAGGAACCTAAATTGGGTACAGATGAGAATGTTGGAAGTATCAATTCATCAAGCATGATTAGTAGACAAGTAGAAGATGAACAAGGGGCAACTGATAGCCTATCGCCAATTGGATGCAACAGCTGAAGCAGAAAATGTTGCAGTTGAATGGGTGTTCTTGTTTGTTTTTACTGAGGCTGACGAGTTTCCAATTTTGTATAACTAGTTTCGAGACAAGGGAACAGGTTCAACAGGCAGGCAGTGTGCTGAAGTTGTACTTCACAGTTTACATAATAAATGTGTAATATTCATCTACTTGGTACGGAGTAGTATGCATCTTGTCTCAAGGAGTATATCATATTTTTGCTGAGACAGTTTGTAAATTGGCGTCACATCTATTAGTATTCGCATCACATCTATTGACCAGTTTTACAACTTTGTTACTACGTAGTATAAATAGTAAAAATAGAAGCAAAATTGACTTATTTTTCCATCTATTTCATGATTAATTGAAGGTCACAAGTATAATACCATCAATTGACTCGACAACTTAATAAGGTAAAATTCTTCGGAATATTAATTCATCATTCTTCATCTCGAAAACTATAAATACATATTCCAGTTTTTGATTACCCCATTTCTTTCCATCACTCATCCTATCTTTTAAACATAAGGGCTTGTTCTCATTAACTGAACTGAATTGAACTCAGCTAAAAATAATCGTATGAGAACAAGGAGACTTTGAACTTAAAAAAAAAAAGAAAAAAAAAGAAAAAAAAAGACATTTTATTTGTATTACTGCTTTAAGCGTACAGTAGCTTTATTTGGCTCTCTATTCTATCATACGCCTTCTCAATCTATTAAAATACAGAAGATAAACCCCCCAAAAACCACCAAGCTTCAACAATGGCGATTACAGGAAAAATGGCTGCATTTTCTCTCTCCAAAACCATATCTCCTCTCTCTCCTCAGCAGCAAACTTCTCGAAGTTTCTCTATTTATCTCACTCTCTCTCCTCCTCAAATTTCTCCTTTTCGCTCCAATTCTTTCCATAAACCTTCCCTAAACCTCCATTTTCGACCTTCTGTTCTTCGCTCGCCGTCCAACAATGGCGGAATTGAAGCTTCTGGTGAAAACGAAGATCTAGAACAAGAAGAAGACCATGATTATGATGATGAAGTTGAGGAGGAGGAGATTTTGGATTACGAAGGTTATCAAAGTGAGGGGAGTGATGAGGATTTCATCATTGATGAAGAAGAGCTTGAAGCTGAAGCTAAGGCTGTTGTTCGCGAATTTTCGACGTCTTTGTCTCGTGAATTGAAGATTGGTTCGTTATTTCTAAGCTTAATCAATTGGCGTTTTCTTTTTCCTCTTTTGTCTAATCAATTGGTAGCTCATAGTATAATTAGGCTCATAATTTAATGTTGATATTTAATTATTAAATTACAATCAGAATTTGCTTTGAAATTGTTATTATAATGTATAGATTGTCTACTAAGGCTGAAAATTTGATGCTGATATTTAAATTATTAACTTACAATCTAAAATTGCTTTGAAATTCTTATTATAATGTATACTTAGGCTGAGAATTTGATGTTTATTTAAGTTAGTGATTCTCTCCTGAATTTGCTTTGAAATTGTTATTATAATGTGTGCTTAGGTTGAGGATTTGATGTTGATATTAAATAATTAATTTTCAATCTAATATTGCTTTGAAATTCTTAATCATGTATACATAAGCTGAGAATTCGATGTTGATGTACATAAATTATTAATTTTCAATCTGAATTAGCTGTAAAAGTCTTATTATGTAGATTTCGTGCATGTAATTCTTGGATGAAATTGTTATATATGCTATTAAATGTGGAGTTGAATGCTTTATTTATATGAATTGAGATTAATGGATTTAACTGTTGAATACGCTGAGCAAATGTAGAATCGATTGTAGCTAGAGCAAATTTCAGTCTACTCACCTTCCTTTCATTGAGGAGATTTTTTGGATATATGGTCTCAAATTTCTCTGTATGTTGATCATAGAGGAAGACGGGACGAATCGTGGTAAAGACGCGGGAGGAAAACAGCAACAACAGAAAACTGTACCTAAGAATGTTAGTGAATTAGAACTTATTGTTTGTTATCTTCAACATTTTGCATATGCCTGTTATTTCCTTAGTTAAATATGTTGTTTCACTAATTCTGATCAACTATACTTAGGTAGGGGGTGGTTGTTGATGCTCTCTGTAAAGTGTTAACATACGGACCAAGGATATATGTACCTCCGACTTTACGTGTCTTAAGCTAATAAGCTATGTCTAATTAGAATTCATAGGATTTCTTTAGGAGTAAAAGTTCTGTAGTGATATAGAAAGCTTGATGTATTTGTTTGTTTAAATATATGGTTGCAGATACCAGACCATCTTCTTCCAAAGGTTGCAATTTTCGGAAGGCCAAATGTTGGTAAATCAGCATTGTTTAACCGTCTAGTGGGGGTATATCTAGCAACCTTTAGCTTGAGTTTCCGTCCACCAATTTTTTTTTTTTTGAAAATTTTTGTTCCCTGTTTGATTCCAATCTTGTTTCCATAGGGTAACAAAGCAATTGTGGTGGATGAGCCTGGGGTTACTAGGGACCGTTTATATGGAAGGTCTTTTTGGGGAGACCATGAATTCATGGTCATAGATACTGGAGGAGTTGTGACGTTATCCAAATCACAGGAAGATGTTGTAGAGGACTTGAATGTATCCACAACTATTGGTATGGAGGGAATCCCATTGGCTGCTAGGGAGGCCGCTGTGGCTAGAATGCCTTCTCAAATTGAGAGACAAGCAGCTATAGCTGTTGAAGAGTCATCAGTCATCATTTTTGTCGTTGATGGTCAGGTATGCTTCTATCCTGCTTTCCAGTACTTTTTAAATCATTACCAAAGCATTTTGCTTACATTTTTTAGTGGGCAAATGCCTTAGCCTAATTCTGGCTGGAGCCTCCAATAAGATCTCTCACTCTCTCTTGCTTGTGAAGAATAGAATATGGACGCTTCTCGTTCCCTCTTTTGAGTTTATGTCTTCCTTTCAAAGTTACTCTCTCTTAGCTCAAGTGAGTGACCGAGCTTGCTTTTAGTGGCGACTTATGCTAGGGTAATTTGATTTGCAACCAAGACTTCTGATACCTGTGTTTTCTCCCAGTCTCACACAAACATCTTGATGATTCATGAGGCCAAAACTCCCCCTCCTCTCTCTCTCTCTCTCTCTCTCTCTCTTGATGATTCATGAGGCCAAAACTCCCCCCTCCTCTCTCTCTCTCTCTTGATGATTCATGAGGCCAAAACTCCCCCCTCCTCTCTCTCTCTCTCTCTCTCTCTCTCTCTCTCTCTATTAGGACCCTGGTGATAGAAAAACAAAGATTAATTGGTGCACAGACCTTTCATTCATTTTTCCTTGAGTTTTTATTTTAGGTGCACCACATTAAGATTAAGTTGATCATATTGTTTCCCTCTCAAGTAAATCTCACTAGAACAATTCTGAACAGGCTGGCCTAACTGCAGGTGATGTGGAAATAGCTGATTGGCTGCGTAAAAACTATTCAAAGAAAAATACTATACTTGCTGTTAACAAATGTGAATCTCCCAATAAAGGGCTGGCACAGGTATCAGAGTTTTGGTCTTTGGGGTGAGTTATACTTTACCTTTGATTATTTTCATGTTCATGTTTCACTATTGTCCCTTAAATGCTTATGGTGACTCTCTACCTGGAAGTAGCCTTTGTGGTCCCAGTATTTATGTGCAAATGCAAGACAAAGACAATAGTTGGGCTACTATCTAGGAAAATTTAAAGTGTTGAAGTCTCTAACTTCTATAGAGGAAAATGTGAGAATGTGGGTAAGAACTAAGAAGTAAGAATATGTGGGTAAGGTTGCATCTGTATTACAATTGTATCGAAAACTGGATACATGCCTGTTCAATGAATGTGTATATGGGTAGATATTTGCTTGTTTGCATATAGCCTATATGTTTTTGTTTCAGTCCTTTAGCCCTTTTATGAGGGTGAATGGATGTACTCGCTAGTTAGATAAACATGTACAGCCGTACAAGCTATATTTAGAAATTAGAATGTTAAATGCTCACTTGTCTTCTGTTTTGCCTTTCTCTTAAGTGTTTTCATGTTCTGTTTGGTGATGTAGGTTATCTCCTATTCCTGTTTCTGCAATCTCTGGAAGTGGAACTGGGGAGCTCCTTGATCTTGTTTGTTCAGGGTTGACAAAAATTGAGGTAGCTGATAAATGTTCGTTTAAAATTATAAAAAAGTTTCTTTAACCTAATTTAAGTTTGTAGGACCTAGGAAGAAGCTAAGAAAACCGAAGACTTCTATATGAAACAGAAAAGTCTTAACTCTGCTTGTTTTCCAATTGTTGGTGTAACTGATGCCTGAAGCATGAACTGCTCTTTGTGTTTCCATTGTCTCCTTTATATGAATATTAATGTTAGTATATTGACTCATGAAGTGTACATTTGACGTGTTGTCTATCTTGCAAGTATAGGAGCCTGAAGATCTTGAAGAAGAAAATTACATCCCTGCTATTGCAATTGTAGGCAGACCAAATGTTGGAAAAAGCAGCATATTAAATGCATTAGTTGGGGAGGACAGGACTGTTGTGAGTCCTGTTAGTGGTACTACTCGTGATGCTATCGATACCGAATTTGCAGCACCAGATGGACAGGTTGGATTCTGTGTGAATATTATTTATTTCGCTCTATCTTTGCATTTTGGTGGCGGATAACTTTCAGATTTTTGTTGAAATGCTTTTGTGGTGTAATTTATCTGTTCCTGTTTTATGTCATCTTTTAAAATTCTATAAAAATTCATGCAAATTATCAAGTTTTAGCCTTTATTTTTATTTTTATTTATATATTATTTATTTTTGGTTGTATGAACAATGAACATGGCCATCACTGGGGGAACTATCTCTGTCTTTAGTTGGAAACCTGTTCTCTGTCTCCAGTTTCAGAGTCTTAATTCAAAATGAAAACACTGGTGGTGGCAAGAACCACCTTCTTTAAACTCCCTTCTTCTCTCCCAAGTCATAATATTCTGGTTAGTGGTTACCAGTCTTACCACTGAGCTACCTTTCTCCCCTTACCTCCTGTGGGTTACCAGTACTTCCCTCCATAGTGTGGTACATTTTACCTGCTTGCTAGTGGACTCTGATAGTGGGGTATTTGTAACTTCTGACATCTTTTGCAGAAGTTCCGGCTTATTGATACTGCTGGAATCAGAAGAAAATCGGCTGTAGCATCATCGGGGAGCATCACTGAGGGCTTATCTGTTAATCGAGCTTTCCGTGCTATTCGTCGCTCTGATGTTGTTGCTCTCGTCATTGAGGCAATGGC